CTTCTGCCATCCTAAACTCCGAAAAAATATTTGTTTCTCCGAATCGAAGGGGAAAAATACAAAAGCATTGCACACAATTTAAACCAATCAATGTCGTTTAATTAACAAGGATAATCTGGTGTTTTTGAGTTGATGAGTAGTGCAGATATCACTGTAAAATCAATCGACAGTAAGGGGAATACTTACTTTCGGGTGTATAATCCTCCGTTATCCAATGGGAATGGACGCTCACATTGCCTTTAACTGCCGCCGACATGGACCGATGCCGTGCTTCCATGAGCGTCAAATACCGCCGCCGATGGGAATACATTGCAATCAGTTGAAAGCTCTTTGCGTCCGTTTATGAAGCTGAATGTAGCACTACTGCCCTCTTCTGGATTTAAACAGAATGTCAGGTCTTCCTCACGATGAAGCTCACCCTGTTTAAAATGTATTATTTTGATTTCAAATAATTATTTACAGCTGGAAAAGTACTAAAACTTTACTATGAAAATACCGCAGGTAAAAGTCCTGCATTCAAAACCTTACTTTAGTAAAGTGTATCAGTGAAATGCAGTTAAAGTACTTAAAGTAAAATAATTGATGTTATTTGTGTCTCTTTTATTTACATGTGATGAGTGTGATTTGAACAAACTAAGCTGCAAGTAACATCCTGATATAAGGTGAATACACATGTAATCTTTTACACCAAACACAAATGTTAAAAGTTCCCTCTTCACGTCAGAAACATGCCTCTGAGACAGCAGCTGCTCAGTCTTTCTGCAGGACTGTCAATTCAAAGATGTAAAGGCTTTGTTGGCTCATGTCCATCAAATACAGCTTAGTTTTGGTAATGAAATCTAAAGGCACCTCCAAAAAGGTGCATTTATTTACTTCCGATTCTTTGTACTGTATATGGAGGAGGGAGGGTGCTGTTGTACCTGACATTCAACAGCAGGGGGAGTTCCTCACTCACTTTAAAACTACAGCAACAATTGAGGGTCTGTGTTTGTCTGGAGTTCCTCTAAAGCAGGGGTGTCAAACTCAATTTCATCGCGGGCCACATTCGCATAAAGCAGGGGTCTCCAACCTTTCTTCATCTGAGAGCTACTTTCAAAAAATGAAAGTGGCCAAGAGCTACTTGCATCACATCGCTTACATTTATTCACATAGCCCTCATCAGTTGAATTAAGCTATACTTTTGTACACGTGTGAAATTGCAATACCTAAAGCTTATCAAAAATAAGGTCCAAGAAAACGAAGATTTCTCACATATTATTATGGCCCACATAATAAGTACATCACTGAACATTCACATAAGTGTCCTTAATCACCACCTTACAAGCATTTCACTCTTTTGTTAGTGAGATTAATGGCACTGCATACAGTCCACCATAGAGGTGTATGCTGGACCCACTTAGGTTCACTTAATAGAGTCATTTAAATGTTCATCAGTCGGTCTTGTTCTGTATTTAGATTTCATTCATGTCAGAAAAAGCTGCTTCACAAAGGTATGTAGAACAGAACCAAATAAAGCAGACATTTTCAGTGCTGCTTGGTGAATGTTCTTATAGTTTTCTGGGTCTACAAGGCTCCAGAAATGTTGTGAGTTTTGCTGAGACTTAAGCTGAACATTATTTTGGAGATCTCCACAGGATTGACACTGAACAGTTGTTCAGCCATCTTTTTCTTCTTCTTCTTCGTCTTGACATTAAATTATAAACCATAATAAATCAATTGTATAGGTCTAGCCTCCCTATATCTGTGTGTGAAAATGGTTCCATCCTCAAAAACAAAAAACTAATACTTCTGCAGTCTAGCTGCAGCTTCTAGCAACGGTCTTCTGTTAAAAAAAAGACACACATGACTTGAGTCTGAAAACAGCAGGAGTATTTACAATAGCATTATAAAAACAAAAATAGTGCATGTGGGTGCACACTTACATTCTCTGTCTTACTGTTACATAAATCCCATGAATGTATGAGATTAAGTTAGCTTCATCATATCTCAATCAGTGATTAAGTGAATAATAAAGTTTCTATCGGGTCACTATCAGCCTGTCACTCATTATTTTCAGGGAGGGGGCGGGGTTTGGAGGAACGGAGAGGAGACGGTGATCGCGGAAGCTTTCCTCCTGCCTTCACAAACTTTACACAAGTATTTATCAACTGAAAATAGCAAGAGGACATTCATACTCTGCAATCCAAGACTTGATTAAATTCACCAAAAACCTGACATGACGATAACGAGTGTTTTTCAAAAAACACAAATCCCTCCCTGTGTGTCTCTGAGGCGCAGCGACAGGGCCTGATTCAGAGCGGGTCATTCTGCTGTTAGTTCTGGACTCGTGCTGGTGGAGAAAGCAGACTGCTCCGTGTGTGTTGTCGCTGTGCTGCTGTCACGTCTGTTCCTTGATCTCTGCGTCACCGACCATTTGATATTCGTGTGACAGAAAAAAATCTAAAATAAAAAAACGTTATTGTCCAGCCGCGGCCGAAAAATCAATAAGCAACCTTACTACGCTATAATCGATAATCGAGCGGCGAGCTACTGAAAAGCTGCCCGCGAGCTACCGGTAGCTCGCGATCGACGTGTTGGAGAGCCCTGGCATAAAGGTTGCACTCAAAGGGCCGGTTGTAACTTTATAAATATATAATATATATATAAAATAATGTATTATATTACATTATTGCCTCTGAATTGGATCATTATCGGATCGGGTAATAACTTCATAATTAACTACGTCTGAAAGCAGAAGTCTGGGGCAAATAATTGCAAGTCTCTTCAGTGCGCATGTCACAAAACGAGATGCATTGTGGGACATGTAGTTTATGGGCAACCTGCTTCTGTAAATCGGCATGTAACCGTATAATAAACGTATTATATTCTTTGCAAGCTCCTGCGGGGCCACAGAAAATGAAGCTGCGGGTGGGATTTGGCCCCCGGACCTTGAGTTTGAGACCCCTGCTCTAAAGGGTTGTAATGTAGTTGTTTTCTGATTTACAATTTAGTTACAAAATATGTTGTAATTGTATTATTTCCACTTTCCCTGAAACAAAATACTAGTAAGTACATTTCAGTGTTTCAAATGCATCATAATCAAAGTCTGCGTTTTATAAAAAGTGATATCGGATATCAGGAAATACACAGGCAAATAATGAAGGCTTATATACTCAACACATTGTCAGTAAATGCTTCCCGGGCCTCTAAGGCACAGTATAAAGACAGGATGCAGGGTGTTCATCATGTGTGTTAAACAGGTAACAGCTGCTGCTCTAGCAGTGATAACTGTGTGGGTTTATAATAATCATTTATACTTATATGTATACGTGTTGCTCTCCCCAAAGTTTCTTCCATTTCCCCGTTAACGGTTGGGTTTCTTTGGGAGTTTCTCCTTGTTGCTGTAATGGTCTAAGGTCAGAGGGTATAGTGTTGTAAAGCCCCCTGAGACTTACGTGTCATTTCTGATAATAGACTTGATAAATAACATTTGATTGATTGAATAAACAGGTACAGCAGCACCTGCTAAATACCGAAAAAAAACATTGTGTTAAATAATTACGAGCTATTATTCTTCAGCTTTCAAGTTCATCTTGTGGGGAAATGTTCTCAAAGGGTGTTTTCCTCACTAGCTTGTTGAGCCTGTTACACAATCACATCTTTAACAAATAGGTTTTAAGACCAAATAGGGTAACACTTTATTTTGATAGTCCATAGTTAACACTCTATAAGTCATCAGTTGACATTCAACAACACTGTTTCAACAGACAAGTAACATGCATTTAACTAACTGCCAGTAGAATATAAGGTAGATCTCAAGTGTTGATTTATAGATTTTACAAAAAGTGTCTGTTGACTGTCAACATGTTTTTTGCAACAGGTTATTAACCGATATTCAACCTTACTATCTGTAGATTGTGTCAACATCTTCAAAATTGACAATCAACTACTCAAAATCAATCTGTCAGTTGAAAGTCAACAGGGTCATGTCGACTATCTGTTGATAATCTGTTGAGAGTCAAGATGTCAACTAAAGATTACATTACTAAGTCAATAAGCATTAGTTGATGATCAACAAATAAGCAACTAAAGTTGAGTTGACTATCCTTTGATTGTCAACTAATCTAGAGTTGACTATCAGTATACTTTTAGTAGGTTCTCCACTAAGTGTTTGTAGGCATGTGTTAGGACTATCCAATTAAAGTGAAAAACAGTTGAGAACAGTAGAAGTAGTAGTAGTCACTTGGTAGTCCTTTAGTAGGATTGAATGTGGTTCACAACTGTTCAGTGTTTTTACTTGTAGTATATTATTAAAATAAAAAAGCGTTCTTTCTCTGATATGCTGCATATAGTGTTTGTTCTACTGTGCTTTATAGCCTGGCATTGACTTCAGTTATCCAGTGTTCGTGATCAGTTGTGCAAAAGATTTCGCTTTATTCCCATGTCTGTTGCATATAATTAGTGGATGAATGTATGTGTTCTGTTGATAGGTTATAGACTTTCTACTGTTCTCAACTGTTTTTCACTTTAATTGGATAGTCCTAACACATGCCTACAAACGCTCAGTGGAGAACCTACTAAAAGTATACTGATAGTCAACTCTAGATTAGTTGACAATCAACAGATAGTCAACTAAACTCTAAAGTTGCTTATCTGTTGATCATCAACTCATGCTTAATGTAATAGTCAACTGAACTTTAGTTGCTTATCTGTTGATCGTCAACTAATGCTTAGTTACTTGTCGGTTTGAACGGTGCTGTTGAATGTCAACTGATACATGTCAACTGGTGCACTGTTGACATGCTACTAAATGTCAACTGATGACTTATAGAGTGTTAACTATGGACTATCAAAATAAAGTGTTACCCAAAATAGTTTATGGAGTGAGGGCAGGATGCTCTTTGGTCACATGATTTCACATAAACAGAGATTTCACATAAACAGTCTGTTTCTGTGAAATCATGTGACCAAAGAGCATCCTGCCCCTCCCTCTGGTATTTAAAAACGCTTCCTGCTCTCTGCTCCCTCTTCTTCAGAGAACAACGACAAAGGTAAGAACACTTTAGAGCAGGAAGCATGATTTATGTCGGAGTTCTGAGATTAAAGCCAAACTTTGGAGAAGAACGTTTTTCACTTGTATCTCATAATTATAACGCAATGTAAATCAGAATCAAAATCCCTTTATTTGTCCCACAGAGGGGATATTTACAATTGTTACAGCAAAGAACCAAAGACAGCTTAATATCTTCATATGTCACTCAAGAAGTATGCATATAAACTATATTACAGATAAAATAACTAGAAATTCCACAATTTACAAAATACACATCCAGTACCAGTACCAGTATGTAGCAGCCAGGATGTGAGGAGTAAGGGACACGGCTTAGAACGGGCGTGTCGCCTTCTGTCCTGCCAGTGTGTGGCATGAATTAAAATGTCGAACTCGGACTTAATTTTAAGGACATTTCGGCCAGGGGTGTCGAGCTATATTTGTTTAAGCACCGGATTGGCAAAACAGGAGAGTGTGTGCACCAGTCTGCCTTGATCTATGAATTCATGTCCGTGACACTCACAGTATCTGCTGCCCACAGCTGTTTCATAAGGAAAACCTCCTTCACTTCATGAAATCTCTGCGGCACCAGGAGGCAGCGGGAGGGTTAACTCAGCCTCTGAGAAGAGGAGCGTGCAGTGCCTTTCACGCACCGCCTTCACTGTGTTTACCTTCAGAGTCATTAGAAAGGCTAACGAGCGACCACAGGCTGATGTGTTTTAACCACACACACCTCTACACACACACACACACACACACACACACACACACACACACACACCTACACACAAACTGCCCGATTATCCCCCCTTTTATTAGTAATTGGGTTATTTACATAATATGTTTACATGATTTTAAAATTCCACCGGCGGTCATACGATGGCTTAAGATGCCCTCACGAATGGCCCGCCCGTCCACCATCTGATGTCAATTTCGGGACAGTGTGACAGGGGCTTTAGCAACGGTCATTACAGTCCTTGACAGCGGTCTGTTCTACTGGATTTACAACGTGTCACATGTTCTGAATTGACCAATCAGAACTTTATTTAGCCTCCGTATGGTTAATGGTTGAATGTGGGCCGTAAAAATGTTCTTGATTCTTAAGTGGGCCCTGATTTGAAAAAGGTTGGGAACCGCTGGGCTAGAGCAAAAAAGTGTTGCAGCTTTTCAAATTGACGCACTGCGTAGTGCGCTTGTAATGCAAGTGTTGGATGTCCCTCTCGTCAAACGGACTATAGCAGAGGATAGTTTAGGTTTGCTAATGGCAGCACCTGAGCGCCAACGTAGTGCGCATGCGTCTTTGAGTGTGTTTGTAGACATCTTGTGTCTCTTTGTTGAGTAAAAAGGTCAGTAGTAGTAATGATGCTGTTTCAATCACATTAGTACGCATAAAAAGTGACAGGTGCTGTGACAGGTCACACCTTTCCGTACTTATGCTAATGATCCCCTTTGTATGCTAATGTCCCCTTTGTTTGAGGTGTTATCACATGTAGGTGTGATATCACACCCCCTTAATTAAGCCTTTGATGTGAGGTTTGAGGTGTTATCACATGTAGGTGTGATATGCCCCCCTGTAGTAGACCCTTTGTTGTCAATCTAATCTAATTACCCCTTTGATGTCTGTCCTTTGATGTGAGGGGTGAGGTGTTATAGCGTGCAGGTGTGATATGCCCCCCTGTAGTAGACCCTTTGCTGTCAATCTAATTAGCCTTGATCTATAATCGAATTAGCCTCTGAATTCGTCCTTTGATCAGTGTTTAATATAATTAATGTTAATTAAGGCAGTCTCGTATTGTCCTGTCTAAATTAGATTAGTTTTAATATGATTAGTGTTAATTAAAGGTGGGGTAGGTAATTTTGGAGAAACCAGCTCGAGTGTGCTAAAATTTGAAAATACACAGCTGGGAAAAATCTGCCACTTCCTTACAGAGCCCCTCCTCCAACACACAGAAACGCGCACATGACCAATGAGGGCACGAGATAAGTTTGTGCCCAGATGGAAGGCTGACAGGCAGGTAGGCCATCCAGTTACTTTAGCCGGGCCGGCTCAGATGATTGGTCGTGCTTTTTACAGTACTACAGCTTCCACAGATGACATTTTTTTATGGATTTTTTGTCAAAGCACTTCAGATATTCATTGCTATCGGGATATTAAGAGCATTCCATGGAATATAACAAAAAGTGTATCTCGAGCCGGTTTCTCAAACTTACCTACCCCACCTTTAAGACAGTCTCTGTGAAGTTGTGTGAGACTGTGTGAGACTCTCTCCCCCTACCCCTTCCTCCACCCTTCCTGCCATCCCCCTGATTTTTCTGTGAAGTCAGAAGATAGAGGGGGTGGAGTTAGTTTAAAAAAGTCACCTAAACTTTATTGTCCTCTCTAAATTAGATTTAGGTTTTTTAAATGATTTGTGTTAACTAAGGATGTTTCTTTTTAAGCTGTGTGAGACTGTTAACTAAAGTTTAATTACTTTACTAGCTATAAGGAAGTCTCTTTTAGGAAGAGGGTAATAATCATTTAAAAGATCTTAATGACCCCCTGATCTTGTATTTTTAATGTTGAATTACTTCACACAACTTTAAAGAAGCCCCTATGAAGTTAGGTGAAGTTGTGTTGGGGTAATATTAGAATTAGCTGTATGCAGCAAAAAAAAACAGAGATATATTTTTAGCTGACAATATACATGTTATAAGGTTAAAATAATATATTTATATAAATATATATATATGTTTGGGTGTTTATGATGAGCGGGGGTCTAAGACCTTTGCTGTATCAGGTTATGCGCCATTTTTTCTTTTTTTTCTATCTATTTAAAACCCTTTTGGACAAATTTTAAATCTAAAAAAATAGGTTTTTCTTCTTTTTAATGTTTATCTACATGTTTTGTAATGTGTATCTACATATTTTTAATGTGTATCTGCAAGAAAAACTAAGTAATGCTAATTTGTTAAACTATAAGGATTAAAGCGATTGGTTCTCAGGTTTTTTTGAGCCATTGACCTGTTTATTGTTATCAGGGTGCTGTTTCAGTGAGACAATGCAGTTTTGATCATTTTAAGTTTCAAGTTTCAAGGCTTTATGTCATATGCCCATTGTCACATTGCCACAGTGACATGTCATATGTCAATGAAAAACATAGGTCACAGGCTCCTCCAACAGTGCAACATATATATATATATATATATAGAGCACATAAAACAGATAAAATACTGCAATAGAATGTTTTGATATATATATTTATATATCTAAAAGGCAAGTTTGTGATTTTAACACTTATTTACTGACACTAGGCAGATTTTGGCTTTTTTCTCTTGCCAAGATACTTTTAGATACACTTTGAGGCAAAAACCTTATAACTAGAAAATGAAGTACATTGTCTGATTAGATTTTTCTTAAAGACTGTTTCTCTAGAAGGCAAGTTTTTGATTTTAACACTTTTTACTGACACTAGGCAGATTTGTGTGTAATTCTCTCACAAAGGAACTGAAAGATACACTTTTTATGTATGCAAAACCTTAAAAATTAGAAAATAAAATGCTTTGTCTGAATACATTTTCTTTAAAGGCACTTTTGATTTTAACGGGAGGTGTGTGGCGTAGTGGGTTGTCCGTAGGTGTTCAGATCAGGGGGTCACAGGTTCAAACCCCACTGCAGTCAGCATGTCGTTGTGTCCCTGAGACACTTCACCCCAAATTGCTCCTGTGGGGATTGCCCACAGTATTGAGTATGTAAGTCGCTTTGGATAAAAGCGTCTAACAATTAACATGTAATGTAATGATAATGCTGTTTCAGTGGAACAATCCAGTTTTGTTAACATCAATGCTTTTTTTCTCTTTTCTTGTGTTACTAAGATACTTTTAGATACACTTTGATGTATGCAACACTTAACAACTGGTAGAATATGAAGTACTTTGTAAGGAATTTCTGGAAATAACTTTTTTCTCCTACAAAGATACTTATAGTTACACTTTAATGGATGCAAAACTTTATAACTTGGTAAAATATTCATTCATTTGTAATGAATTGAGATTCTTAAAGAATCAAACTCTAAATGGAAAGTTTGTGATTTTAACACTGTTTCGATGAAACATTGCAGTTTTGATAACTTGACTTGACTAACACTACTTTTTTTTTAAATATATGTTTTTAGATGCTATACTTTGATTTCTTTCATGTTATTTTTAACACAACATTACTTTCTTCATATTTTTCAACATACTGTGATATTTGTTTTTCTCTCCTTTTTCCATTATATTTTTGAAAAACTACACAGTGATTTTTATCAAAATACAACATGCAACTAATACATTATACAATATTACGACTTTTTGCGATATTTTCAACACAATATACTTGTACCTTTTTTGTAGGGCTTCAAGATATTTGGCATGTCATGCATAAAACCGGTGTCATCTTTCTTGAAACTGACGTGCTGTCCGTTTTACAAACAAGTTATTTTCCTGCTTCTTCATCCTCTGAATTTTCCTCGCCCGTCCCTCTTCCTTCAGCCATCACAACAACAATCAAGTCAGATCTGTCAAATTAAACACCTCTTCCCAAAGCGTGACTTCCCTATTGAGGGCGTGCGTCTAGGGCAGTAGGGCCTAACCTGATTGGCCAAATATACTAACATGCAGAATGTATGGTATGTTTGAAAAAGACTAACCATTTATCCAGTTCAAGCTGTCTTTAAGATGTGACATCGCGATAACAATAGGTTTTAAATATATTATGCAGCCCTACTTTTTGACTAACTGCATTATGATTTTTTTTTTTTTTTTCAACGTACACAATGACTTTTCGATATATCTTTTTCTGACAAACTATACTTTGACTTTTTCCGTAAATTCGTGACAAACTATTACTTATTCTTAAATTTGACCTCTTGCTGCTTGGTTGAAAATGATAGATGAAAAAGCTACAAAGCTTAAAGAACTTTTTTAAATAGTCAAACAGCGAGGGACATTATACTGGTGAAAAAACTCTCAATTATACAGATG